ACATTTAGCCAAACATAAAGGCGAACCTGTATCTCAATTAGAATATTTTCGGGTAATAGGCAGTCTAATGTACATTACAAACTACACTCGTCCGGATATTGCATATGCAGTAAACAAACTTAGTAGATATACAAGTAACTCAAAAAATGACCATTGGAAAGCACTGGTAAGGGTTCTAAGATATCTGCGATACACCTCAAATGTTGGATTACATTATACAAGATATCCAGCTGTATTAGAAGGATACAGTGATGTTAATTGGATATCAGATACAAAAGACTCAAAATCCACTAGTTGGTATGTTTTTACCATTGGTGGTGCGGCTGTATCTTGGAAATCCTCTAAACAAACATGTATAGCTCAATCCACAATGGAATCTGAATTCATAGCTTTAGATAAAGCTGGAGAGAAAGCATAATGGCTTCAAAAATTTTTAGAGGATATTCCATATTGGCCTAAGCCTGTGCCTGCAATTAGTATACATTGTGACAGTCAGTCGGCTATCGGTAGAGCACAAAGTAGTATGTATAATGGTAAGTCTCGACATATACGTCGAAGACATAATACAGTTAAGCAGTTGATCTCAAATGGTGTTATTTCCATAGATTATGTAAAGTTTAGAGAAAATCTGGCGGATCCGCTTACCAAAGGCTTACCAAGAGATCAAGTTTACTGCCTATCTAGGAGAATGGGCTTAAAGCCTACTACATAAGAATCTTTGTAATGGTAACCCAACCTTGTTGACTGAAGATCCCAAAATCTTGGTTCAATGGGACAACTAAGTTACGAAGATTCAATAAGCACTTTGGAGTTAACTCCTACCCATTCCTATGATAAGGAAGTGTAATCTGAAGAAAGTTTTAGGTTAAGTTATACTTTTAATGATTCCTATATCTTGGACTACCTAAGTGGAGTATGGCAGGTACTCTTAATAGGAGATCACCTATACAAGTGTGAAGTGTGGCCGCTTCTATGAGAATGTTTCAAAGGCTTAAATTCTCTAAAGCACTTATGAAATTCAAGAGTTGTTCAGGGCCAAAATGAACACAACAGTGAGAACTAAAAAATGTTAGGAAGGTTATTGTGTTGATACTATTGTTTTGGTTTATAAAAACGACTGACAGTTCAAGACACCGCGTTCACTGATTAGCCAAGTAAATCCGATAGTATTCTACTACGAAAGGTTCAAACCCATAAGGTACCTATCCAGATGCGATAACATTCCGCCTGATCTCTCTATAGGATCTGCATAGTCTACTGCATTAATTTCCATTCATGTGGGGGATTGTTGGAAAATTGGGTTTAATTAGTTGGTTTGACCAACTTTTGACCAATTAATTTAGTGGGTCCCGTTAATCGAAAATAAGATTTCTTTGGACGAATGTGTTCTACTCCATGAGTAGATTAATATGGTATATTTATTTTCTCAAAACCAATTTAGGGT